TGATTAGTAGTTTCAGTTTCCTCCAATATTTCCTCCAAATTCTTATCATGATAACATCACTTGTATATATATATATATATATATATATATATATATATATATATATATATATATGCATATGCATATACATATAATGCATATATATAATATGTATGTATATATTATGTATATATATATATATATATATATTATATATATATATATAATATATATATATATACATACTTATATACATATATATTATTATATATATGCATATGTATATATATATAAATATATATATATGTATGTATTATGTATGTATGTATGTATATGTATGTATGTATGTATGTATGTATGTATGTATGTATATGTATGTATGTATGTATGTATGTATATGTATGTATGTATGTATGTATGTATGTATATGTATGTATGTATGTATGTATGTATGTATGTATGTATGTATGTATGTATGTATGTATGTATATGTATGTATATATGTATGTATATATGTATGTATATATGTATGTATATATGTATGTATATATGTATATTATGTATGTATGTATGTATGTATGTTTGTATGTACGGATGGATGGATGTAAGTAAATAAGTGTATATTCATGTAAGTAAGTAAGTATGTTAGTGGATGTGCGTGGACGGGCAGGTGTGTTAACAAAGACAGCCAGGCCTAACCACACACTGCCAGAGGAACCACGCATTAGGACCCGGTGTACACGAAGCACTAACTACATTTCTTATAATTCCTAAAAGTATATTAGATTTAAAAGCGAGTGTGCATTATACAGATTACCCGGCATTGTCCTGTACTACATAATCAAATCGTATGCATATTATATGAATAATCCCCGATGCCATTAAGTAACTAGAGAGAAAAAAAAAAATCTGGTTTATCTAAGGAATTTCAAATATGAGCTGTCAATTTCCCCGTCCAGAAATTTTGTATAGACTCTTCATCAACCTAAAAGAACAAGCAGATTTTTTCCAATACCTGGTCAGAACATAGACTTGTCATTGAATATTAATTACACTAATATTGGAATTTTCTCGATCTTGAAACAAAAATGATTACGAATATCACGGGCAGATTGACATACAGGATATTATGCATATCCGGATCCACCATTTTTTTTTCTTTAATATATATAAAACGGATGGTCTGATTTATTTAAAGCATGAAGCTGAAACGCGAGTAATTCAATATGAAAAAGCTTTAAATTAGATATATGTTGTTTTGGTGGTTAGATTATACAGACGTATTTTTGTTTTTGTGTCTGAAAAAGAGAAAGAAAGAGAGAGAAAAGAGAGAGAGAGGAGGGAGGGAGGGAGGGAGGGAGAGGGAGAGAGAGAGGGAGAGAGAAAGAGAGAGAGAGAGAGAAGAGAGAGAGAAGAGAGAGAGAGAGAAAAGAGAGAGAGAGAGAGAGAGAGAGAGAGAGAGAGAGAGAGAGAGAGAGAGAGAGAGAGAGAGAGAGAGAGAGAGAGAGAGAGAGAGAGAGAGAGAGAGAGAGAGAGAGAGAGAGAGAGAGAGAGAGAGAGAGTGAGAGAGAGAGTGAGAGAGAGAGGAGAGAGGAGTGAGAGAGAGAGGAGAGGAGGGAGGAGGGGAAGGGAGGGAGGGAGGGAGGGAGGGAGGAGAGAGGGAGAGAGGGAGAGAGGGAGAGAGGGAGGAGAGGGAGAGAGAGAGAGAGAGGGAGAGAGAGAGAGAGAGAGAGAGAGAGAGAGAGAGAGAGAGAGAGAGAGAGAGAGAGAGAGAGAGAGAAGAGAGAGAGAGAGAGAGAGAGAGAGAGAGAAAGGAGACGAGGAAGAGGAAGAAAGAGAAAGAGATAGAAAAAAAGAACGGAAGAAAGAGAAAGGGCAAGAGAGAGATCAACATATAATATAATGACAATAGAAGTCACATCCATCACCCGTATCACTATAACATGAAAATGGCGCACCATAAATATCATTATAATATAGTGTCACTGTTACCATGCAACGAGTATTCAAATTGGATGAATATGAACCAAATTATGACACCGTGTTAATCATACAGAATCCTTTAAGCCATATATTTTAAGCGAATATCCAAACACTGACACATTTCGATGGGAGCACATAATCACATGCTGATTTTGCACAACCAATCTTGTAAATACTCCGGTAACATTAATGCCAAAAAGAAAAAAAATGAAATTACGAAGGAGAGAAAAACGAGGAAAAAAGAAAAGAGAAAATCAACATCGTATAAAATAAAACAAATCGCAATGATAAGAGTAAGATTAGATGAAATAAAAAGTACAAACATTGATAAAAATAAATCAATAGATAAATGAATAGATAAAAAATAATGATATAGGAAAAAAAATCAATACTATAGCGTCCATTTGGTCACAAATGTAAAGCCATGTACAGTCTAACCTGTTGACGAGATGCATGAATAATAATGGTTAAAAAAAGAAAAAAAAAAATGGAATCATGCTTTTATATCTTCAAAATAAATCTACATTCATTAAGCGAATATAATCATGTAACGTTACATATCATCTAATGAATGACACGGAATACCCAGAGCGAAAAACATGTATGGTTTCGTTCGCTGGATTCTAAAATATTTCGGTCCGGTCTGACCCCCAGGAAAAATAAATCATTTGAGGTTTTACGTGGTTGGGGAAATAGCTTGAATTTAAATTAGACACAATTTTGATCGGTAAAGTTATTCCATTTGCATATTATTTACGTCTGATTCGTATCTAACGTATATCAAGCAAAATGTTCGGTGCTGGTAGTACGGCGTGGTATTCCAATATATATACGTCCTTTATTGTCATACCTGAATAATTTATTTTAAGTAAAAAAAAGAGAGACAATAAAAGCTGTTGCGCCCGTGTTCACGCATGAGGAAATAGAAAACTCATTTTTCCAAGATTATCCTACGGTTATGGATATGTATACGAAAGAAAAACAAAAACGAGACGGCCTTTTTTCCCATGCGAGCGAAAAATCCGGTCTCGTTGTTTCTACAAAGCTTGAACAGCCTTTGACAACCAAATCTTATTACATGAATATTATTGCGAAACGGAACCAGACTTGACCTCGGCTAGCAGCAGAGTCGCTTTCCGTGTACGCCCAAAGTTATTTTCATTTATTTATTCATTTATTCATTTATTTATTGTCGCAGCCCAAAAAAATGTTTCGTATAGCTATTTACTCATTTATCTATCATGAAAGTAGCAGCCAAAAAAAAAAAAAAAAAAAATGTTTCGTATGGTTATTATCTTCATCACTATTATATTAAATACGGGAACTAGGAGCGAAGGAATCTCGACCGTATTTCCTCTGTAACTTAAGCATAAGAAATGCATCGCTCCTCGACAGATGGGCGATCCTTTACGGTCAAAATTATTTCCCGTCTCGTCTTCTCTCGCCGTCTCTCACCCTCTCTCACATTCTACCTCTTCCCATGCCTTGGTCGTTCTCTGTTCTTTAATTCCCCTCTCTCTATTTCCACTCCCTTCCGTACGAAACCACCCTACATCTCTCCTCTCTTTTTTTTTTTCTTTTCTTTTTTCCCTCTCTCCAAATTAGTTAATTTGAACATATCCCTCCACAAGTTTATTATTCCTTCTCCCTCGCACCGAAATCCACCTCTTCCCCTCTTTCCCCCTTCTCCTACTTGCTCTTTATTACACGTCTTCTAACCCGTGGATATTGTTCTCGTCTTTGTTCACAATTCTCCATCACTCCTTCTTTGCATGGCGTTCATTCTTCGTCCTTTTTCCTTTCTCTCTCTCCCTCTTTTATATATAATTCTCACTTTCTCTCTCTCTTTCTTCTGTTCCCTCCGTTCATCACGGTCAGCCCATTCTTCTTTTTTGCATGTTCATTTTTTTTTTTCTCGCTTTTTTAAAAATCCCCCCCCCTCTCTCTCTCTCTCTCTCTCTCTCTCTCTCTCTCTTCCCCTCCCTCCCTCTCCGTTGCCTTCGCATGGCGTTCATTTTTCTTCCTTTCTCTCTCTCTCTCTCCTTCTTTCTCCCTCCCTTCCTCCCTCACTCTCAACCTTCTCTCCGGATACATACAGCGTGATGGACGAGGTGAGGGAAGCCCGAGGCATTACCTCCATCAACACATCATAGCCTGAATGATTCCAGTCTCGCATCGCCCCGCCTGGCACCAACGCAGCTTCTCCCTTCGCCTCCACACAGCCCGGCGCCTCTCCCCAGCCCCACATTACACAGGGCCTCTTCTCTCCCAGACACAACACTTCTCTCGTTTTCTTCAATTCCCTCTCAAACAGAGACTGTAGACCGTATTATTCTACTTCTCTGAAAGCACAAACCGTATCTCGTTTTCTCCTGTATCTTCAAACAAACCCATAAGCCGTATTCTTCTACTTTTCTCTCTTTAAAATCCACAAACAAGTAAACAAGGTATTCCGTTTTCTTCTAATTTAATCCTCTTACACGGCCCGTATCCCGTTTTCTACTACTGTGCCTAATACTAGACCTTCCCTTTTCTCTTTTGGATTTTCCTTTCCCAATCCTTTTCTTATGGGATACCGCATCGTCTTCCTTTCTGGGTCCTATTCCCTTACCATACGGTATTGTGATGCTCTTCTGTACCCCCTCACGATACCACTTTTCCCTACGCGGTACTACACAGCATCATCTCCTCTACTGTAGCATACCGTGACCCCTCTCGCTACCACCGAAAAAGGGTTTCCCCTCTTCTCCACGCAACACAGCGTCTCGCATATCCATTACATAAAGGAACGTCTCCTAAACCACAAAACAAAACTTTTCCTTTTTGCCCATACATACCTGGACACGGATGCATGAGCCACACACACACGGGTTCGCACTCACAGGCACGCACAGACACACACACACACACACACGCATACAACACTCACACATCACACATACACATACACACCACACTGACGCCCCTCTCTCTCCCTCCCACACACACACACAGACATCCACGCACGCGGACACTTGTACAGAAAAAGTTACAAAACATTACACATGGTTGACAGATTTCAAAAGTCGTGGGACGAGGGGAGACGGGAAACTGACTTCAGGTTTGGGGGACAGACACCACAGTATAAGGGCAGGCGTCAGGGTGAAGAGACGGATGCCAGAGGGTAAGGGAGAGGGCTAAAACACGCTGGGAAAAATAGATGAATAGAAATATAGAGGAAAAAAAAAACATCGAAAAGGTAAATTTTACGGGGAAAAGGCGAGGGAAAAATCAATAACGGGATAAAGAACCAATCAACGTCAGAGAGAGAGAGAGAGGCAAACACGATTAAGTTTGAGAAAGAGTAAACATGAAACTGCACAGAGAGAGAGAGAGAGAGAGAGAGAGAGAGAGAGAGAGAGAGAGAGAGAGAGAGAGAGAGAGAGAGAGAGAGAGAAGAAGAGAGAAAGAGAGAGAGGAGAGAGAGAGAAAGAGAAGAGAGAGAAGAGAGAGAGAGAGAGAGAGAGAGAGAGAGAAAGAAAGAAAGAAAGAAAGAAAAGAAAGAAAGAAGAAAGAAAAGAAAGAAAGAAAGAAAGAAAGAAAGAAAGAAAAAGAAAGAAAGAGAAAGAAAGAGAGAGAGAGAGAGAGACAAAGAAAAAAAAGAAAGAAAGAAAAGAAAGAAAGAAAGAAAGAAGGAAAGAAAGCAAGAGAGAGAGGGAGAGGGAGGGGAAAGTGAACCGCAAGCCTTAATAAAGCCAGGATGAGGAATAAGGCCTGATGACTTCCGAAACGCGCCGTTATAACTGGCCTGTCAAACTGCCAACAGTAATACACATTACATGATCAATATCCCACGAGGGAACCCATCACGCGTCGCTTACCGCTCGCACAATGTGGCACAGAGACCTCACTTTTATCTTGCGGCTCTGCGGGGTTGTGAGGATGCTGGGGGGGTTGTGAGGATGCTGTGGGGGTTTGATTGCTGTGGGGTTCTGAGGTTGTGAGGATTGCTGAGGTTGTAGGATTGTTGTGGGGTTCTGAGGTTGTGAGGATTGTTGTGGGCTGTGAGGATGCTGAGGGGTTGTGAGGATGCTGAGGGGTTGTGAGGATGCTGCGGGGGTTGCTGAGGGTTGCGAGGATGCTGTGGTTGTGAGAATGCTGAAGGGTTGCTGCGGGTTGTGAGGATTGCTGATGCGTGGTTGTGAGGCTGAGGGGTTGTGAGGATGCATTGGGGGTTGTGAGGATTGCTGTGGGGGTTGTGAGGATTGCTGTGGGGGTTGTGAGGATGCTGTGGGGTTGTGAGGATTGCTGGGGGTTGTGAGGATGCTGTGGGTGTTTGTGAGGATTGCTGTGGGGTTTGAGGATGCTGGGGGTTGTGAGGATGCTGGGGGGGTTGTGGGGATGCTGTGGGGTTGTGAGGGCTGGGGGGTTGTGAGGATGCTGAGGAGTTGTGAGGATGCTGTGGGGGTTGTGAGGATGCTGTGTGGTTATATGAATCTACAGATTATGAGGATGGTACGATCATAAGGTTTCTCTCTGGTGCTATAGTATGAGGATTCCGTAGGCTTATGAGGATGCTGTCTGGTTATAAAGATTCTGTGAAGCCATGAGGACACTGAACGGTTATGAGGATTAGGCGGGGTTATAAGGATGCTATGAGACTACTGAGGGGTTATGAGGATGCTATGAATTATGAGACTATGGGGTTATGAGAATGTGGAGTTATAAGGATTTTGTTGGTTTATGAGGAAGTGGATTATTGGGATTTTGAGAGTTGTAAGAGTGTTGGGGTTATGAGGATGTGAAGATGCTGTGAGGCTATGAGGATTCTATGACTCTCACCTGCAATGAATTCCTTTCGCTATGTCTTCAACATCTTCGTCGGAATGCTTTTCCTTACTATTTTCCCCCAATCTTTGTTTTGACACCATCTTGTTTCGCAGCTCCCCCCCCCCCCATTTCCTTCTTGCGCCGCTGGACCTCCCCTATTTCCCGCAACCCCCACCCCACCCCACCCCTACCCCCTCGTCCTCCTATAGGTGTTCTCGTAAAGAACTACCCGATTTAAGTAAATACCCGACTCTATCCACTTGATCAAAATTGGATCCAGGCTGCCATCCCGGTTTTCTGCCGGGAGTTTTCCATGTTACACTGATATACCTAATAGGTGTTTAATCAATACGGCGTAAGCGGTTTGTGTGAGAAGCCCTCCGGGAGGCGGGGGAGATAATGGGTCGGGAGATATTTTGCCGTGTGTGATTTATGTAAGGTGGCAGTGAGCGAGGAACACCGTGCCTGGCTTCAAGGGCGAAGGGAGGGCTTCACATGCCAGAAAGAAGCGTGAATGATGCAAAGGTGAGTCATTTTCACAAAGGTAGAGGGTCGAGGTGAAGCTAAAGCCGTCGCTCCCTGCCCCGTATTACTCTCTCTCTTCGAAACAACGTTAAACGAGCCATGAGAACTCATATCGGTAAGGACGGCAAAATAACAGACCAATATTCGAATGAATCTATTCAGCATGTAAGAAAAAATAAATGTTTAAGTCTCGTCTTCTCGGTCCAGCTTGTTAGACCCGTATTTGCCTGCGTGCAAATGCCGTGTTGATACATATAACTATCACTTTAAGCGCTGGAAGGTAACGGGTGGATTGTTTGCTATGGAAGACGTAAATATACTGTTGTACTTGCGAGTGTTTGCACAGAGAATGAGCATGGGAGAGTAGGTAGTAGATGTAAAAGCATCTATTGTAGACATAGGTTTGTATGGCCACGGGGGTCTCTCTTTACAGATTTACGAGAAAGGAGACTTTGTATAGAGAGCGCAGCAGCCCTGACTGGAAGGGGAGGGAAGAGTTGAAAGCAGGATGACCTTGGTCGAAGGCTTGGATCTCACCTCTTTCAAAGAAGGTGCGGGTTTCTGACACAAGAAGCTGGATAAATGTATTGCCAAGATTATTATTTAAAACTCGTTACATGTTTTTTTGTGTGTTATTTTTTAATGATGTTGATTTTTCCCCCCCCCTTTCTTTCTCCCCTTTTGCTTTTCTACGACAAAAGAGTAAAAATGAATTCAGTTAACGCAAACTTGTGTGTTGTGGTTCCAGATTTACCCGAGGAAATCTGTTTGCAGAGATCAACATTATACACCAGTTAATGCTAAGAAAACAGTCAACAAAAAAAAGATTGAAAACGCCATCCTCCTCGAACACTTTATCAGGCAACTCTGTCCGGGCAGTGAAGACGTGAGCTGGGGGAGGGGGGGCGGGGAGGGGCGAGGAAAGAGAGGGAGGAGAGAGGGAGGTAGAGGGAGGGAGAAGGGAGAGAGGGAGGTAGAGGGAGGAAGGAGAGAAGAGAGAGAGAGGGAGGTAGAGGGGGGAGGGGAGAAGAGAGAGAGAGAGGAGAGAGGGAGGGAGGGAAGAAGAGAGAGGAGAAAGGGTGGGGGGAGGGGATGGAGAGCACTTGAGCTGATGACAAAGTTTTTTCTTCCCGTTTTTCATTAGGGGTCTCACAAGGTTCCCTGCACACTCCTCCCCGCCTTCTTTTTGAATCGCCTTCGGGTTTTTTGTGTGTGTTACATTTTCCTTCCTTAGGCCTATTTACCATTCTATCTAATCTGGTTGATGGTTGGTTAGCATGGGTTTCTATTCGAACCTAAGAGATTCTCGGAGAATCCATTAAGTTTATAACATTTTAGCTTTTGTCAAATCGGAGGATTTTATTCTACATTTTCTTTTTGGGGGAATTTTCGGCGAAAAAGTGGACATATAGTTTTATTGATGTAGCGTTAAAGGAAAAGGAAAGAGAGAGAGAGAGAGAGAGAGAGAGAGAGAGAGAGAGAGAGAGAGAGAGAAGAGAGAGAGAGAGAGAGAGAGAGAGAGAGAGAGAGAGAAGAGAGAGAGAGAGAAGAGAGACAGACAGACAGACAGACAGACAGAGAGACACAGAGAGAGAGACAGAGACAGAGAGAGAAAGAGAGAGGGAAGGAGTAAGAAAACAGGGTGAGAAAAGGCTGTATCCGAAAATCAATAACATCCAAACGCAATACAAACTGTGCTTGTTTGTCTGTTCCTTCAACGATATCTACTTGTGAATAAGATGATCAAATCCTCAATGTCATTTTGAAAGGAACATCATTATCCTCCACTTTATAACGATTTTAAACCCATTAAAATAGCAAGACCCCATAGTTGTTGTGGAGTGAAACACTCTTACGGCTGTAGCATCTCACCCCCCCTCCTCCTCCTCCCCTCCCTGCTTCACCGTAAAGAACCCACCCCTCCCTACCCCCCCCCGCCCAGCCCGTCCCCAATTGCAAACTTTTTTCCTCCTTTTTTTCCCTTCTCTCCCTCTTTTTTTCACCACTTCTAAACCTGTCATTCGTCCTCCGGTTTTGCTGAATACTAACTCTCTTTCCATTACACTTCGCCGCGGCTCCAACTCTCATTATAGGATACATATATATTTTTTATACATATATTTTTTCTCCTGATCCTATTTCTCACTCTCCTTCTGTTACCCCTCATCCAACAAGACAGGAAAGTCTCATGTAATCAGCCAAGTTTGGATACTTCTATTTTGTTGACGCAGACATATTACCTTTTTTTCCCCTCAAACTGGGGTCTGGCCCGCTGGCGGCTTCGCTCCTACCATCGCCGGGCATTTTCTCTAAATTAATCTGTCAACATTGTGTTACATTGTTTTTACGTAACTAATTCTGTTATAGTTATTGTTCATTCTGTAGTTTTTATATATTAAAAACAGTGAAGAAAGAGAGGGAGAAATGTTTTCTTTCCCTCTTCGGTTTTCTTCTTTTTTATTTTTTCTTTGTTTCCGTTTTTTTTTTTGTTTTTTTTTTAGTACGACCCTTAGTACCAGATGCCCAAATGTGTTTGTATTAGCACATCGAATACGTTTTATTTCGGTTATCGTTGTGATTTCAAATTTCTAGCCGCCCCGTATTATATCTCTCCATGTATCACTAGTGTCAAGACTCTTGCAACTAACCTTGAGAATGATAATCGTGTTTATGCCAAAGATTGATAATTATGATACCGATAATC